TGCCTCTGTCTCCTGAGTGCTGGGATTAAAGGCGTGCGCCACCACCACCCCCCGACCAGTAAACTTTTATGTTAGGCATATTTATATTTAAAATAATAAAAGGATTTGAGGCTGCCAGGCAGTGGTGGCACACACCTTTAATCCCAGCACTCGGGAGGCAGAGGCAGGGGGGTCTCTGTGAGTTGGAGACTAGCCTGGTCTACAAGAGCTAGTTCCAGGACAGCCTCCAAAGCCACAGAGAAACCCTGTCTCAAAAGAAAAAAAAAAAAAAAAAAGAATTTGAGGCTGCATAGATGGTTTAATTGCTGAAACACTTGCTGCACAGAGTATGAGGACCCAAGTTTCACCCCCAGCACTCAAATAGAGCCTCAGCATACTCTCATAGTAGCATACTCTCATAGTCCAAAGCTAGGGAGGTGGAGACAGGAGGATCCTCGGCTTGCTGGCTTGCCCAGCCTAATTGGTGAGCACAAGATTCCAATGAAAGAAACTGTCTCAAAAACAAGGTAGTGGTGGTGGGTGATGAAGCAAGATGACTCATTGGATAAAGGTACTTGACAAAAGGCCTAATGGCCTGAATTTGATGCCCAGGAATTACATGGTGGAAGAAGACCACCAACTCGAGTCCTCTAGCCTCCACACATAGCACATAACAAAATAAATGGATATTAAAAAGAAAAACAAGCCGGGCGTTGGTGGCGCACGCCTTTAATCCCAGCACTCGGGAGGCAGTGGCAGGCAGATCTCTGTGAGTTTGAGGCCAGCCTGGTCTCCAGAGTGAGTTCTAGGACAGCCTCCAAAGCTAACAGAGAAACCCTGTCTAGAAAAAACAAAACAAAACCAAAAAAATAAAATAAAATAAAACACCAAAAAGAAAAACAAGACGGAAAACTTTAGAGAAATAGCATCCAAGGTTGACCTGACCTCTACATGCATGTACACACATATACACATACTTTGGTGTCTTTCCAGAGGACCTAAGTTCCATCCATAAGACCTACATGAGGTAGCTCCCAATAGCCTATAACTCCAACTCCAGATTTAACACCATCTTCTGACCTCTATTCGTAACCTCACTCATGTGACATATAGTCACTGAGAAACACATAAATAAAAATAAGTCTTTAAAAAAATTCAGTTGGAGAGGGGCCTAGGCCCAGCACAGGAAGATTTGGTGGACTTGGTGGAGCCCCGGTTGGGGGCCCTACCCTGCCTGGGGAGTGGCGGGTGGATGGGGTGGGGGGTAGGTTGGAGGTGGGAGAGAAGGAATGGGGGTGAGGGGAAGGAGAGGGAGAGGGGAAGTACATGTGAAACAAGCCTGTTCCCTAACTTGAAATAATAATAATAATAATAATAATAATAATAATAATAATAAAAAAAAGAGAAAAAAAATTCAGTTGGAAAGCTCTCAAGTCAGCTAGCTTGGAGTACATGGCACAGTGTTAGAAACCAGAAACCCTGCCTCAAAACAAGCTGGGAGCAGAGAATTAAGTTCTAAAAATTTGTCCCTGACTTTCACATGTGTCTGCAGTCAACATGTTGCACACTTTTTAAAACATCTATTTACTTTGTGTGTGGTTGGGCATGCTATGGCACACTTGTGGAGGTCAGAAGTAAGGAATCTTGTAAGCTATTTCACCAGCTGAGGTGTGATTCAGTAATAGATTGTTTGTCTGCCATCTACAAAACCTTGGAATTTAAAACAACAGAATTGGCTAGGGTGTTAATCTAATCTAATCTATTATATATATTATATATTATAATAAAACATATATATATATTATATTTAAATATTTAAATTAAATTATAATATAATATAAGCAGGCCCTGAGCTACATCCTCATATTGTTTCTTTTATCCTCCTGAGGTGAACCCTGAGTCCTGGGTTGAAGTGATCTCCTTCCCTAGCATCACAAGTGGTTAGGACCACAGGCATCTACCCACCAACTTTGGTTTTCTATGCTTGCATCAATTGACAGGTGCTAACCTAGTCTTCCAGAGTGGTTGTCTTCCAGAGTGGTTGTCTCTTACAGTTCTCTGTGGTACACAAGACACAGCTTGGCGTGCTCTTGGCACAGATTCATCCCTACTCAGACATGTAATGTGTACCAGCTCATCACTGACCTCAGAAATAACCACTGAAGAGCAGAGATCCTACCAAGCTATATATTTGGTCTAGAGGTTTTCAGAGAGGCAGGCACAGCTGTGTACCCACCTGCCCATCTCCTGGTCTGAGCCATGACAAATGGTTCTTATTTGTCCGTAGTGCTTGGTCACTTGGATTTCAGTGAGTCAGTTCCCAGGGCCACTGTGTGCTTGCATCTGTGATTTGGTAGATTGCAGTCTCAGAACTGTCAGCCTGTACCTGTCCTCCTTATGGCAGCATAGTGTTGGCATCATGGACAGAGTTCATTTGTTCAGCCAATGGGAACTTGAGCATGCTGTGCTTGCGCCTTATTTGCTCTTTAGGAGTTGATGCTGCTTGCCTATTTTTAATGGAGTTTGCTGTTGTCTGACAGTGCTGGTTTTGCATAGGCTCCTGCTGCCCTTCCCAAGTCTGTGACACTTGTATTTCTCCTAGCTTCTTTGTTGCTAGGGGTGGTATTATATGTGCCAGCTCACAGTCTTCACCACTTCTCACTTGGGCTCAGTCTTTCTTTGTATTCTGGTCTTAAGCAAGAGAATCTGGACTGGTTGAGGGGTGTCTGGTCCAGGTGGACAATAGGATACCAAAGTTTTCAGTATGACAAGCAACACTATCATTTGATAAAACCTACTGCATGAAGAGTCTCTTCAGAGATAAGATATCAGCAGGGTGTGGTTGAGCATGCCTTTAGTTCCAGCAGAGGCAGATGGATCTCTGAGTTTGAGTCCAGCCTGGTCTACAAAGTGAGTTCCAGGACAGCTCAAGGATATTACAGAGAGAAACCTTGTCTGGAACCCCCCCCCAAAAAAAAAAAAATCTTGATGTTTTTTATTTTATTTTTTTTAAATCCTACAGGACCGAATAATTGATGCTGGCCCTAAAGGGAATTATTCAAGATTCATGAACCACAGCTGCCAACCCAATTGTGAGACTCTGAAGTGGACAGTGAATGGGGACACTCGGGTTGGCCTGTTTGCTGTGTGTGACATTCCTGCAGGTACATCACTGCAGTCCTACAGGTTTCTGGTGCCACGTGAACAGGCAGAGAGGCCATGGTTGGTGTTTGGTGTGGCTGGGTTTGGAAATGCTCCAAGACAGTGATTTAGAAGCTTTGTTTTGGGTATCTATTTTATAAAAGCAGATTGATGAGCTATGTGTGTCATGCCAGTGTGTGCCTAAACGAACTGCATTTTTATGAGCCTGACTCCTTAAGTTTAGCATCCACTGCCTTAGGAGGACAGTGGCCTCTAACATAGCATTATGTCTCTGTAGGGACAGAGCTGACTTTCAACTATAACCTCGATTGTTTGGGCAATGAAAAGACAGTCTGTCGGTGTGGAGCCTCCAATTGTAGTGGGTTTCTTGGAGACAGACCAAAGGTAAGGACATCATAGCTAGCTTTTTTCCTTTTTCCTTCCTTCCTTCCTTTTTTTTTTTTTTTTTTTAGATTTTATTTATTTATTGCTTATACAGTGTTCTGCCTGCATTTATGCTTGTATACCAGAAGAGGGCATCAAATCTCATTGAAGATGGTTGTGAGCCACCATGTGGTTGCTGGGAATTCAACTCAGGACCTCTGGAAGAGTTGTCAGTGCTCTTAACCTGAGCCATCTCTTCTGTCCCCCCCCCCCCCCCCCCCCCCCCCCCCCCCCCATAGTTTTCTTTCTGTAAAGCTGAAACACATAGCCCTAGTGGCATCATGGCATCTAGGAAGATTGCTTTCTAGTGAGCAGGAGACCTGTTGCTGTGACAAAGTCAGGACGCTGCAGTGTGGGTGGGGTTAGTGAGGCCTCTGTCAGTATAGGCTACTTGTTAAGACTTCCCCACTGTGTCATTCCTGTGGGAATTATCCTAATGACTTAAGCATCAGAACATGGACTCAGTTTTTAAGGCAGTGTTTGTGGGGCCACGTTTGCTCCAGTGTTCTTTGAGTCTCTCCAGCTCCTGTTGGTGACTAGTAATCTGTGGTGTCCCTCAGGTTGTAAAAACCTTACCCCAGTATTTTGCTGCTTCACACGAGGTACCATGTGGTGTCTTGACCACTCCCTCCATTTCCCTGCTACCTTTTTGTTTTGTTTACATTGCTGTGTATAGATCCAAGGGTCCATACCTGCTAGGCAAGCGCCCTCACACTGAGTCATACCTTTGACCACCAGTCTCTTTCAGTCTGGTCACAAGTCATGCTTGCCTGATGTGCTGGTGTCACTTTATTGTAATTATATCCATTTTAAAATAAGTTATGTTCTAAGTCCTCAGAAGGATATGAATTTTGGGGCACCCCTTGTGTGCAACAAAGGCTAGGGCTATCACAGGTACCTCCACCCTATGCTGGTGTCTGGGTGCACCCTATAGATGTTTTCTGAAGGACTGCGGCTTTGCCCTCACCTGTTTTAGTTAGGGTTTTATTCCTGTGAAGAGACACCATGACCATGGAATCTCTTATAAGGGAAAATATTTCATTGAGGCTGGGTTGTAGTTTAGAGATTTAGTCCATTTTGGTCATGGCAGGAAGCATGGTAGTATGGAGGTAGACATAGTGTTGGAGAGGTAGCTGAGAGTTCCACATCTGGATCCGTAGGCAGCAGAATGCCACAGTGGAAGTGATTTGAGCACATGAGACCTCAAGGCCCGCCCCTAGTCTAACTGCTAACAAAACTATGCCTACTCCAACAAGGCCACACTTCCTAATAGTGCCACTCCCCATGGACCTATCAAGCCACCACACCTGTTCCACTCATAATTGAATTCTTATCCAACGGTACTTTGACTGAGGTGTCTTTGTTGGCATGTCCTGTCAGCAATCCCAAATGTGACATTAGTGAGCCTCTATATTGTGTTTTTTTGTCTTAGCAGGAGTTGCCCAAGGTATAGTGGACCATGACCTGGTTTGTGTGGGTGGCATACCTTTTTATTTTGTGGTGCTAGAAATGGAACCTATAGCCTAGAGCTATGTCTCCAGCTCAAGCACCACTTACCATCTTGGAACACCCTAGGAATCTATAATGTCACTC